TATGACAAAGGTACTAAAATATGCATTGGAAATAATTTACAAAATCAGCGTGGAAAAATAGTACCTATGCGAGTGTTTAATTCGAAGAAAAAAAATGTTCACCACAATTAATTTCAAAATTGGTTGGGACGAATCGCGGATCTACACATTGTCTTTTAAAACCACTAGCGTGTCAAAATAGCATAATATACAGTATACACCTAATAAAAATCAACTATTCCTGTACTTTGATCATATAAAATTATTTTTCAACACACAATAGTTATGCCATGTAATATATTATTATATTATATATATAATAGAAAAATAGTGATACAAAATATTTTTTATTGTGATAGCTACGGCAGGTATCATTAAGAATAATCTATAAAGGTAAATGTGTTGATGTGAATGACAAATTCCATAGATCTTCGAATAGAATACCGTTATATTATGCCATTATTACATTGTACCTATATTTTCGTTTACTCGGCTGCAATCGGTGAAAATAAATACCTATGGAATGGAAAAATAATATGATGTATGTTATTTAATTTTTTCTTCATTCAATAATATGGAGCAATTCATATTATTGAATATCATCAATTAATTGGATAAAATAATCATATTGACTTGAGCATTCACCGTATGGGCACTATTAATGCAATATTAATTTAATTATAGCAATATTAATGTATATTATAGAACAGTTATACAATTTATAGTAAATATATAAAATAATATTATATTATACAATTATAATAATTCAGAAACTTATAAAAACAAGCTATTTTTCTTTCCAGAGTTAAGCAGTTTGGTACTTATATGAGTTGGTACCTAACTATTGATTTAAATGTGGACAAATTGACCTTATTATAGTTTAAAAGTTTTGATTCTCTAATAAACTATATTTGATCAATTCATCATCTATAGAATTACAGTACATTTAAGTAGTTGTGCTTTGTTTAGTTGATTTAAAAATCAAGTGTTAAATTAAAATCGTGCGTGTTTATAGGTAATTTATAACTGTAATTAAAATGTAAACACAGCTTAGATAATTATTGTAAATCAGACAAATAAATGTTGTTTGGTTTATTAGATAAGTAGGATGCAATTTAACAAAATGGTTGGTTATTTAATTGTATTATTAAAGTTACGCAATCACATATTTGTGGCTCGTCTAGGTAGTACCTAGACACCTAGTTAAAAAAATATGATTTAAATTTGTGTATTTGCATTGTGTATAATATAAGGTATTTACAAGCAGCGTTTCGCTAAACGACTAGGAAAAACTGACAGAGTTTTTTTTTCAAATTCGAGCGTCTAGAAAATCGTTCATCTATTGTTTACAACAAAATATCCTAGAGCTGCGATGTGTTGTCTTATATTATGGAATTACAGGTAGATATTAACAGGTTGGAAAATCAGTACAATATTTATATTTATCTCAATAATTGTGTATCACAATATTATATTATACTTTAATGTGGGAAATGAATACTTATGTTAGCATCGACCAAAAAATGGCATGATGATAATTCCCTTAAAAGCTAGGTAATGTTAGAATCGTATAGGTCATTGTATTGAAGTTAGTTATTTCAATGACCAGATAAGTCGGATATTGAAATTTAATAAGTAAATTCTTATTATTATAAATCAAACGATTCATCGGTACAAACATAGTTTATAAGCTATGTAATAGTATATCAAACTCGTCTAAAGGATCATAATCCAATATAATAAATTATACAAGTATTGATGGTTGATTTTCGATTAGTATTCTGTTTGGAACACCCCATACTTCTTATTCCTGTGGTAATAATATATGAATTGTTTCTTAGTAAGTAATTAGAACCGATAAGTGTATGGAACATATTATACCCAGTGACGTAGATGGGTGGCCCGCTATGGGGTGGAGGGGTATGATGGGGGATAGATCTCCTCCTAGATCTTTTAGATTCCGAGTGGAGCAATGGGTGTATTGTTACAATGATGTGTTATTTTACAGATTTTACTACTTGATAAGATTTTTCACTTTGAGGAAGGCTTTTGATAGAAAATTGAATGTAGATTGTACTTGTTAGAGGTAAATTCTCAGATTTTAATTCTTGATATTGAAAATAAAAATTGGAAAAATTAAAAACAGTCAATTTGTTAATATAATTTTTAAAAAAATTTGACATAAAAACGTTTATTTAAATCAAGTAATTTCTTTTTCAAATTTCTTTTTTTTTTTGGAATGAATAGGTGCTTAAATTAATTCGAAACTTTTTTCAAAATATTTATTTTGGACAATTTCAGACTTAGATAAATCTTAAATTATTTATCATCAACATAACTTTCATATATTTTTTTTCATTCGTGTATCTAGTATCAATTTTTAAATTTTTCCTTCGGAAAGCCCTAGCTCTGTTGCACTTTGTATACATTATGTAGTAGGAAAATCAACTAATAACAGCCATATATTTATACGTGTACAATAAAATATAATATACGAATGCACAGTTACTGCGGTATTGGTAACCAGCAGCTAACGTGTACCTACACACGAAAACGAAATACAATGTAAGTACCTATAATTATAATTATCGTCGACGATGAACGATCATACGTGCATTATTATGTAAAAACGTATTAAAATAAACGTATAATCTATTCAAGTTGACGTGCACTGCAAGACGGTCGACGGCCGCGATGGTCGATTCGGAAAATTTGTGCACCGATAAATACCGACAAAATAACCATCATACAGGAGTAGTTACCTATAATAATAATAATAATAATAATATAGTACATTACAATGTAACAATATATCATGACCATTAAAATATTATTATGTACTTATATAATATATATATATAGTATAATACGGAAAATAGTGACCTCACAAGACGTAACAAAAAAAAAAAAACCATTTAATATATTATATGGCCACGATCATGGAAGGTTGTGTCGTATTCTCGTGCAACTGTCGTCTCACTAAAAAATAAAATTATACAAAAGATACTAAAAATACAAGTAATATACAAATATAAGAACACAAAAATACTGAAAAAAAAAACTATTAATAAACGAAATATTTTTTTAACTTATGATCATATTATCTGTGATTATCATAATATGTATATATATAGAGTCATATTGAGACAGAGAAATATTCATGTTTTATAAATAATCTAGTCGTATTTTAACTTGTCATTCGTATCTATATTATATCGAACGCATTGCCATAAATCATTAAACAAATCTAAAAATAAATTTATAAAAAAGTTGAAATGAAAAAAAAATTAAATTTTAATTTGCATATTTTCCAATTCCTAATGCTATTTATTGTAGTTATCCTAAATGCATATTAAAGCACTAAAGACTAAAAAAATACTTTATTATAGAGCTATAACTTCAAACCCTGGTCTTGATCCTAACCCAACCTTGGTATGCCAGGGCTATTAACCGGAGATTTATTATTTTTTCTTTAATAATGAATGTATTCAAATGTTGATCCTCGAAATTTTGAATTTCACTTAAGGGCTTTATTTATATACACGTATAATCATACTATTTATTGCCTAACCAACTACTTTTTTTCAAATGAGAATCACCCTTAGTTTCTGTAAATTATGAAGCAAATGACTTTTTTAAATTAAATTAATTAAACTGGAATCAGCACTTAACTTTGTGTAGGTACTAATAGTGTACTTGGTAGATAATAGGTCCAAGAGGATAGTTTGGAAAGATACTGTTATGCAATGATATTTGAAAATTATTTTTAGAATTTGTAAGAATTGTCTGAATCTAGTATAGTAGGTACTTACCTAGTTGAAATATTAAATATATTTTATATTTTGTCAAAACTACTTTTAAGCATTATTATTAGATTTTGGTATAACAGACGCCAGTTTAATACCTAAATATTTTAATAACTTGAAACTTCTTCTTCGAATTTCAAACTTATTTTTAGATATATATTCAAAATTATTTTTAAAAAAATCATCTGCTTAACAATTTTTACAGAATTAAAAATAGTAAAAATAGTTGGTCCTTATTTAAAAAAAAGAAGTTTGTATCTCCATGGGACATTTCTTAAATGGTATGAAAAATCTAAATATATCAATATTTTACAATATGGTGGTTTTTAAATATACTTAAACATTTTTTATATCAAAATTGATTATTCGTATTTTTTAAATAAGAAACTGAGTATGCTTGATTGGTGAATAACTCTGTAAAATATTCTCCTATAATACTGTCCTACGATATTTAGTCATATATTTTTGAGCCAACACTACTGCACGTGAAGTTATTTGGTAGGTACATTAACCGTAATGTTTCGCCCACTATGAACATTTCTGGGATTTGATATTATACATTAGCTGAAGTTAGAACGCCTTCTAGAAAAATAAAGTATCATAAAGTTAAACGATTCTTACAATCGTAAGTATAGACGTAAACGTAACTACAACATTTCGAAGGCGTAGGTAGTGTACATTATGCTTAAATAATGGACACTTATATAATATGGCCCGTAGCGATAAAAATGAAATTATGAGTCAAGCGATGTGCCCCTGTAAAAGGGGTCAGATTTTCGATTGGACTTTGAGGATGTAGGGATATATTATACTAATAGACATTTTTCTCTACGCATGTTAAAAACATCATCCACCATCGCACTACTGTGGAACTGTCAACAACTATCCATATTATTTTATAATGGCATACTATATTATAAGAATGTCGAAAAAAACGTTCCCAATAGCTAATTATAGCATTAATTAATTATTGATGGAAAACTGTAGGTTTGAATATGTCTTCGTTAAAGTACATGTTTTTTTTTTTTTATTAGATTGTAGAACAAATTAAAGTTAGATAAGCCTTTTTTAAGTGAACTATTATAGTATCTATTAGAGCGCTTTCAGACGAGACACTTTGTGGCCGGCTCCAAGAATCTTGCCACCGTACACAAAAAGTAGACATTGCTTCACACGAGACACTTACCATACACTCGTGTCCGATTCACTACGTTGAAATATATAAAAATGTTTTCCAGACGCCTATTCGTGGTGCGAGCTCTTGGTTCTTTGGCTCTTTAGTTTATTTAAAATACTTAAATACTAAAATACGTATACATTTTTTAATTAGTTAATTTTTTAAAATGGACGTAGATACAGCAATCATGCTTTATGCCTTAATAATTAAAAAACGAAACAAAAAAATTAAAAAACAAAGACTATTGTGGGTACATCCAATTGTCAGTCAAAGAAATGAAAAAGGACATTTTCAAAATTTATTTCCTGATCTCTTACAATACCCTTCAAAGTTTTTTAATTATTTTCGTATGTCGAGGAATTCGTTTTTTGAATTGCACGATGCTATAAAATATGATATCCGAAAAGAGGATACAAATATGCGCAAGTCGATAACTACGGAAGAACGATTAGCTGTAACATTAAGGTAAGTTTATTTTTTATCTATATAGATAATTAAGATATAAAACGTACTTTAATAAGTAACACTGAAATTTATTAGAGTTAAAATGATAAATATAACATTTAAATTTATATAAAAAGAAACTAAAACATACTCGTATAAAATATAAGAACAGTTGAAATAAAATAAAATAAAAAATAAACACCTTTGTAAAAATAATATTAAAATAAAATAATAATGATAAAACAACTTGCTATAAATCAACCAGAAATTATTATTAAAAATTAAAGAAATTACTTAAATAATTATAGATAAACAATTTTAATATTTAAGTTATTTAACTACTTTTACACTATATATGTTATGAAAGTATCAATCATTAATATTGTAATCATTTATATATGTTACTAAATTTGGTTCATTTGATGACTGATTAGAATATGTTTCAATAGGAGAGACGTAGCTTTGTGACGATTCTGATAGAGAAGTTGACCTCGATGTTGATGAGTGATTAGAAAGATTAGATGAACAAGGGCTATGTTGTTGTTCCCCAGTTATCACTAATGGTTGTTGAAAGCTGGATCGCGGTCGGTGATATTGAGTATTATATTGTGTATGATGAATTGAGGGTGACATGGGGATACTGTACTGCTTATTAAGTTGACAATATGGATCAAAAATCGCCGTCATACCTGGAGGTTTTTGCATCTGCAATCCATTAGATATAGCTTGCATAATATTCGATTTTACGGACATTTTTAAATGGGCAGGTACTTGCTTAAGGTCATCAACAAGTGACAACATAAACAAGCGATCTGGATCTTCCATGTATACTTTTTCTCTGCGTTCCCTTTCTTGTAAACTTTTCGTTACAGAGTTGAAAAATTCATTTTCATATTCATTTTCAACAGTTTTTTGCTTTTTGGCGGGCTTGTGACGTAAAACATTTTCTAAAACTTCTCCAGTAGTTTCATTCAAGTCACTATTAACTTCTTCAATGTCATTTTCATTTTCATCTGGAGAATCATGTGATGAACTTAAATTTGAAGTTGTCAGTTTATTTGCTGCACAAGAAGAAAGAAACGATAGTTGATTGTAATAAACATATGTTTTCCATGTACTTCCTCCTGACCCAGATTTCAAATTCTTTCTTTTAGCCTGTTCTCTAGAAAATGAGTTCCTCAAACTCTTCCATTTTCTTTGTAACTCTTGCACTACAGTGTAAAACATTTCATAATTTATATTTTATTTGTAAGTTAATTATTTTTATTGAATTATATAAATAAAATAATAATAAATTTAGTAGAAGTGTCTTAAGACATTTTTTTGTTATTTGTCGAATATTTTTTATTTCCAGATATCTCGCGTCAGGATGTACATTAACAGAACTTCATTACGATTACAGAATTGGAGTATCTACATTGAGTAATATCATACAAGAGACTTGTGTTGCAATTTGGGATAATTTAAAAAATGCATATATGCCAGAGCCAACGGAAGAAAAATGGGTGGAAATTGCAGAACTCTATTGTAGCATTACAAATTTTCCTAACTGCATTGGCGCGATTGATGGAAAACACATCAGGGTAGTCAAACCAGCACATAGCGGCTCATTATACTACAACTATAAACATTTTTTTTCGATTGTTCTCTTAGCTGTTTGTGACGCAAATTATTGTTTTATCGCCGTAGATATCGGAGACTACGTAAAAAATAGCGATTCGTCAATTTTTAAAAACTCAAATTTTTACAAAAAAATGATTAAAAAAGAACTGTCCATTCCCGAAGATTCAGTACTTCCAGGAGCGAGTGACTATAAACTGCCTTACGTAATTGTGGGAGATGAAGCGTTTGGTTTAAGTCATAATGTAATGCGTCCATATGCCGGAAAAAATTTACCTCTAAAGAAAAGAGTGTTTAACTATAGGCTTTCAAGAGCTCGTCGATTTATTGAGTGTGCTTTTGGTATTATGTCTAATAAATGGAGAATATTTCATAGGCCATTAAATGTATCCGAATCATTCGCTGAAAATATTATAAAAGCGTGTGTACTATTACACAATTTTGTTCGTGTTCGAGATAATAATTCATTAAGGTTTGAGGACACATTATCATATGAAGGGTTTCAAGATGAAGATGAAAGAACAGACAACTATCCAGGAAAAACACCTACTACAATTCGTGATAAATTTGCTGATTACTTTATGGGCGAAGGAAGTGTTCCTTGGCAATTAGATAGCATAAATAAGTAAAAATATAATTTAATTTTAAGTGATCTAAGTAAAATAGTTAAGTAAAAAATAAATTAAACTATTAAAGTATAATATTATGTATGTATTGCCTATTTGTTTTGAATAAATTAATACTTTCTTAAAATATAATGTAAATGTGTTATATGAATACTTACAAACTTCTTTTTGTTGATTTGTTGTCATTGAGTCATATCCTTCATGGAATAATCGACATATTTCCAGCCATGAGTTTTGTTTAATTATTTTATTTGCATAATTAGGACTTGCTGTATCTCACAATTCTACACGCTTCTCAATTTCGATTATAAATTTGTCTGTATCGAGACTCATTGTACACAGTGTCATATTTTACATAAAACTATATAAGTTTTTCGAAAAATACTGTAATACGTTATATTATAACGTATTCACTAATTAAAAAATAATTTTACGTAATTTAAAAATCTAAATAATCTGGAGTCCGCGTGTCTCGTCTGAACGTACTAATTTAATTTAATTTGTTATCAGTGGCTCGGACACAGACACAGTGTCCGGCGGCTAGAGAGGACGGGACACGCAACTTCAGTGGCGCGACACACACTCCGTGTCTGTGTCTCGTGTGTACGAGTGTATTTATAGCAATGTTATCTTAGTCGCGAGATTCTTTTCAGACACAAGTAGCCGGCCACAAAGTGTCTCGTCTGAAAGCGCTCTTATAGACACAAATTTATTCTTTTTGAGCTATTTATAATCATAAGAAAATTTAGATTTTCAATAGTTTTTATGATTATTGTCGATAAAAAAATTTGAAAGTGTATTACAAAGTTAATAACAAGTTTTTGTTAGAGGGAAAAAATGTTGAAGGTAAATCTACAATAATTTTGTATGAGTTTCTGAACCCATTGTAGTACTATTACACAGTAGTAAAATAAATTACTTTTAAAGCAATAGTATAAAATATACTTAGTAGTACAAGCTGACAGACCGCGTCTTCGCTCAATAACGTTTTTTGTACACAATGATTTTTTATCATTGAATTCAAATTTAACACCTCCAATACAGTGACTTCTCTAGACACCTGATGTACAGCAGAGCGTTACCCACTTGCCCACTTTTTTTCAATTTAAAATGTCAAAAACCGTTTTTACCAAAAACAACTGTAAATAATTAAAATAAAATAGCTGTATAAATGTGTAATGTACATTGTTGTGGGCACACATACCACTCAACACGTGTCCGTTCATAAGTAATAATTATTGTCACCGGAGCATAACCAAATTAAGGTATAGGAACTTACCTATATGTAACGAGATAAGTAAATAAAATGTTACGTGTGCACATGCAATTAAATAATCTTCGAATAGCAGTGCCATTTAAGAATTATGTATTATTAAATGTTGTAACATTTCAAATAACGGTAGAAATTAAAAAGTTTATTTTTTAAATTTCAAATTAATAACGTCAACTATTCGAGACGAAAGAAAATTATATTTTTCTTAAATATTATTGTTTAACCATCACGACATATCATTATTATACGAGGATTCAGAACACGTTTACGAAGCAGGGTTATTATATTATTAGTTTTATAATAACACCTGTCAAAATTAATTAAATTAATAGAAAAACGGAACAACTCACAGAAAACAGCAAAAGCAAACAACACCTATTTTATAAGTTATATACACTACCAACCTATATATAATACAAGACGAATTATTTCAACAACTTTTTTATTTCCGATAAAACTCAATGAACTCGCTGGGAGGCGGATAACCCTCCCTATATATATACACCTGCACGAGACGCCTATTCTGCGTGGTGGCGGGGTGGTTATCTAAATATAGGACGCATCGAGTAGACTTATAAAGTAAAATATGTATTATAATAATAATAATTATTATTAAACGCTGCTCGTCAAAGGCGAAATCAACGGCAAAGTTATTCGACGTTCGACTTGTGGTGGCAAAGTTATTCGACGTTCGACTTGTGGAGGTATTTCCGTACTATCGTTATGTACGCCGTCGAGGAACGAATTTCTGCTGTCACTACGCCTACCAACGGGTATTTTCCGCGCATTCGATTTCAATAATTTATAATAATTATTGGCTTGCATTCCGACGGCTGCGACACTGTGTACAATAATGTAATCGCCGAGGTGTCGGTAAACGAAGGTATTTTATTTTTTTAATTCGTCGCGGCCCTCTGCGATGTGCGTCGAGAATCCATGAAACATATATATATATCCGTATCTACGCCTGTACAAATGCGAATATTATTTCATTTTGCCCGCGGAGGAAGAATGCAGTATAGTTCACAGTCGTTATTATTAGGTATTATGGGTTATAATGATAATATTATATATAATTATGTTACGAAAATAGGAAATACATGCCGCCAACTGCTGCAGCACGATTCGGTAAATAATTATTATGCAATGACGTATACAACGTTCGGGGTGAACACGAGACCAGTGACGCGAGTGACTATATTGTTCAGTTTTTAAATTTGCAGTGTTTAATGGATCTAAAGTTATAATATGATGTGCAGTCGGTTTAAATACGAATTTAACGGACTTGATTGTAGGTAATAATCGTAATAATAGTGCGAGAAAAGAAACGAAGCAAGACATTGTTTATTGTTGCTGCAGTGAGAAGATACGCACATTATGTTCGTCGTGGAGATGAGTAATATAATATCATACATGACGATCGACGAGATGTATATTGATGTTATTGTGTAGGTTAAACAATAATATGTATTTAGTTGTTTTCCCCGAGAGTATCTATAAACGCCCAAAAACTATTTTACCAATATTATGTACTTATGCGTTGTATAAGAGACGATCCGCATACATCACTCTAAATGGTTTTTTTCTCCGTGAATGTAAGTGTTTTTTGTAAACAATGGAACTTTTTTGTTTGTTTGTCTTGAAATCCCTGTTTAAGCGCTTCCTCGGGTTGGACCCACTGGGTTCAATTGTGAATCTAAGTCACCTAGGAAACCACTCAAATACACATAAAAAAATTCATCAAAATCTGTCCAGGCATAAAAGACAGACAAACATTCATTTCTATATTTAGATATATTATGTTTGGGTAATGTACAATTTTTTTTCATATAAAATACATTTTGTATTTTATTATTTTTACTATGGATCAACTAGGCTTACCCACGACTTCCGGATTTTTAATAATTTGACTCACCAACATCGATTTAAATGTGCATTGTTTAAATATGTATATTTTTCTAACACTAAACTACTTTTTAAAATACAGTCATATTTTGAGAATTAATAGGTTTACACATGAGAAACGCTTACTTTTTGTGTACCGAAGTTTAAGGCTGGGAGTATTTTTCAATCTTAGCACGTTATATGGTGGGTGACGAATATTTGGTAATTTGTTAGTTACTACTTATTGCAAAATCAAAACATTCATTTTTAGCATTTTTATAGTTAAAATATCCAATAATGTACATTGCACTTTAAGATTTAATATTTATGAAATAAATGAAAAATGATCTTTTGTATCATTATAATTTCTAATTACATTTTTAAATGCTGCTACTTGTATTAATCCTAATCCCTGGCATAGTTTTTAAATATATATAGATACCTACTTTTTTCATATACCACTTCGTGTTCGTCAACCGTCGTCACCGTCTAGGTATATCATAATCATTGCTCAGGAGTCCTCAAACTTTTGAACTCGAAGGCCACATAAACAATTAAAAACTAGACGAGCTAAAATATACACAATATTATATTATAGGTACCAATGCATTTACAATGTTTAGTCTCGCGTACAATAAGTCCAAATGGTTAACGGTTGTTTATGGCACACCGCGTATAAACATATATTCAGACATTTTAATTCAATGTAGCGTATTTTTCTGCTACTTAAAAAAAATGTACCGAAGTAATATAGAATTTAACCACAATATGTGAGTACCTAATATTCATAAAAAGCTCACAGTGCAACAAGAAATTCTACTACACAGCGACTTCCGTCCCATTTCAACACTACAATATATAAATTGACCACACTCACAACTCCTATAGGAATACCTTGATAGACCACGAGACTTACAACAAATGAATGGCTTTATCAATATACTTACACGGTTATCTACAGCGAAAAAATTCAATTGAATGAAAAGGTATACATACATAACAGTGTCATCAAACAGGTGGCTTTTATCATCAAGTCTGCCAAATTATAGTCACTCAATATTAGAAGTCTTTCACAAACTGTATCGCTCGGTTTTCAATTTTTTCAATTTTTTTTTTCCAATATTCGTCAGCAGTATCGCGTTGTGACTATAGAACATTGTATGTAGTATTTTATCATTATTGTGACTGCACCGAGGACAGCCAGCGAATACGGTGAAAATGAACCGAAATATAGAGAATTGCATTGTCGGAGACGAGTGTATTATAACAGTATATTGTAATAGTGTGCTATTGGCCTCAACATTCCCGTCTTATATAATATAATATTATACTTGGGCATACCGTCGTCTTCAATTGAGCGTTCGAAATTAGATTACAGCACGAAAAATGTCTTACACTCAAAATAATATATCAACACCGCACGCCACGACGACTCCCCTTCGCGAATATTATTACTATTAATAATAATAATAATAATAATAATAATAATAATAATAATAATAATAATAATAATGACCACCGGAATACCTCTATAACTGCACATGCGAACGACGAGTAGGCGATGCACGATCGGGACATCGAAGGATAATAATATGCCACAAACGCGATGATATAATAATTACATTTTTTCAGTGGCGACTAAAATATTATATAGACAACGAGGCGGTGTGGCGAACAAATCAACGTTGGCTTGAGAACTACAATTTTTTTTTTTTCTTAAACGTTCTGGTCGCACAATATTTACGATCAATAACTGTTAGTGCAAAACCGACTTATGACTACAATTTTACAATTATAATATTGTGGCTTGATTTAAATATAATTCATAATTTATTGAACAATGTTTATTTTTGCCGATTTCTTTAATTAGCTATATAATACTCATATAAGTACCTACCTACGGAACATCATATAATGTTGGGTAGCTATTACCAATATGGCAATATGTATTTCATTGACAATTCGTAATGCACCAGGACATGGCAGCAATATGTTTAAATTTTATTTTGAGGAGTAATTTCTTCGTAGTTATCGAATAATATACTAGTTGGAATGTTGAGGCTTTTCAAATGACAATGGTGCAGAAAAAATGGTTGCAAAAAAAAATTTTTTAAATAAATAAAAATAATAGTAATTTTTTTCAATAACAATTAATGTACCTACGGTGTTTGTTGTAATAGCAACATACGGAATCCCAAAGTATTACTAGACAAAATAGATATCAATATTACAGATATTTATCATACCTAATAAAATTATTGATTATTATAGTTAGGGCCCAATTCATAATATATAAGTTTCACAAATACAGATAGTGGCTTACATATTATATTGCAGGTATTAAACTATTGGCTATTGTA